TTTTCAACTTTTTGAGGAACCTCCATACAGTTTTCCAGAGTGGCTGCACCAGCTTGCATTCCCACCAACAGTGTAGGAGGGTTCCCCTTTAGGAGAACATAGTTTCTTGACAGAGATTTCCACCCACATTGTGATCTTCTTTATTGCCTTGGGCTTCACTCTCTAGTTCAGTGATCAGCCTGAGACACCTATAGGTTACTGGAACATAAAAATAATGCTTTTGACCTTTTTGTCCCCAAGCTAGTGATGAGCCTTGATTCAAGATTATTCATTTTTTTTCTAGACTGTGCATAGTGTTTTGAATATGTGGGAATTGCAGAGGCTGGGGCGCTTTGTATTCTAAGATGTTGATGGAGCTCCTTGGATTTGCCTCACTGTAGTGGTCTCATGTTCTGATGGGCAGATCCAAATGACTTTGGATCATTTCCATTTAGCGCTCACTTATGGGCACTGAGACTGAGAATCTGGGGTGGGAGTGTGTGCTCGATTTCCCCATCTGGACCTTGACTTGCCCCTATTGTGTTTTTCCAGCAGGAATGGAGAGGAGGAAGCTAAGGGAAGTGACTTTCTCTAATCTATTTTCCTCAGTAACTAAAAAAGCACTCTCCGTCTACTGCAAGATTTAAGCTGATAATAAATCTCAGGAAACCTTAGGCAGGTGCACTCTGCTTAAACCTTGAAACAAAACACAAGCTGCAGTTTCTGTTCTGCCAGGGAAGCAAATCGGGGACTGAGGCAGGAGAGGAAAGGGAAGAAGGACTAATATTTAGTGCAGTAGGAAAACTGAGTTTCTTGACAGAAGGATCTTCTTTAATGCTTTGGACTCCACTGTCCATTTCAGTTAGGCCTGAGACATCTGTAGGTTACTGGAAGAGAAAAGTGTGTCAGAACAGGGGGAGGAAGTAGGGACTCAGTAGGAGAAGAAAGGGAAGAGGGACTCAATATACATCTAGCACTTAAACTGTGCCCAGCACATTGGTAAGCACTGTATTTATGTGATCTCAGCACAGTGGCTTTAATTGTGTGGCTTGATTCTTCTTTAAATACTTGACACCACGTGTTCAAATACAATACGAAAATGTACTCAAATGCAAGTTGTAGATGAGTTTTTAATTATCTACTCTTTTATTCTCAGTTCTCTGCTTTCTTTCTCATTAATTCCAATAATAGAGTTGACATACAATTAAAACACATGAATTCAGAAGAAAATCATTCCCATTTTCAATAATGCTATTTAAAGATCTGGCTGGCTGGCTCCTGGAGGAGCTTCCAGAAACTGGATAAGGACTACAGGGTGTTTCACTTAGGCCGACGGAGCTCACAAAGGCAGCTCTTAGCCTTCTCTTTCTCCTGAAAGCAGGTGAACCCAGGAGCCAGGTAGTTTTCTCTGCCTGTGTGTTGTGCTCTCTACTGCCCACAGCCAGCCGTGTAGTCACAGTTGGGCCTCAGCGTGTGTGAGAAAATTAAGTGGTAGAGAACCCAAGCCCAATCTTACTGTCATAAGTACTCAGTGTTGATAGAATCTGGTGTCAGGGAGGGTGTGCAAAAAATGTGCCCTCTACACTCTTCTTGAGAACACTCACTGGTAAAACCTTTTGGGAGATAATCTGACAGGGGCAAAGTGAAAATTGTGTAGCCCTGTGATGTAGCCATAGTGCTGCTTCTAGAAGTTTAGCTTGCAGAAAGGTACCGGCCCAAGAATGTTTCTATCAACATCACTTTACAACGGCAAAATGGGAATCAGAATATCCATCCATGAAACAGTGGTTCATTAATACATAGACATACTAGCAACTATTCAAAAGAGTGAAGTAGATCTTCAGGTGCTGAGGTGGAAAAATGGCCACATTTTCTTGTCAAGTGAGGAGTCCCAAAATAATCTCATTTTTGTAAAAGCAACCCAGGAGCATCTACATATATAAATCTGTGCCTATGTTTGTACCCACTTGTGTCTGAACTTGGATGAAAGAGGCCTCGCAGAATGTGTGCTGGATTGTGTACGCAAGCCACCTCTGAGAAATGGCGTTGGCAGTGACAGTGACTTTCATTTTTTTTCTTATTTTGAGAGGCCTATATTTTGGCACTTTTTGGATGGTAGTTAGCTTTAAATTAAAGATGTTATTAAGAAAAAGAGAGCATATGTACTCGTGCCATGGTGCTTGCCTCGTGGAGAGCAGGGGAGTGGGGCTGCCTTTGGGAATAAAAAGGACATGTTGGAAATGTTTTTTTCTCTTAAAGTGAAGCAACCATGACAAAACATAAGCAGTTGCCAATTCTCTATAGTTTTTCTTGTGTTTTGTATTTTTCTGGTTTTTTAATTTCTCAAATAGCACATAAAAATTGTGAACTCCCTTTTGCCTTTTTTGTTTTTATTGATATTTTGAAAGAATTCAGGCCAGTTGTCTTCTAGGAATGTTCCATGTTTGGATTTGTCTAATTCCTTCCTCATGATTAGATTTAGTTGAGCAAACTGTGGCAGGAATATTAATTACCCCAGAGGGGTTGTATACTCTCCATATGTCACTTGAGGAGGTAGAGATCACTTTGTTCTGTCATTGGTGATGCTAAGTTTGATCACTTGATCTATTAAGGGGACAGATCTCCTTTAGAATTAATAAGAAATCTGTGGAGATACTTGGAGTCCATTTGTTTATCCTCTTTCTCAACAACCTTTCACCAGATAGTTCTTGCATCCAGTTTTGATTCTTGCCTGAATCCGTTATTACATTGGTAATATAGATTTGAAAGCAATATACCAGGTAATGAGTAGTGGGGGCAAGGATGGATTTGATAAATAATAATTAATAAATGGACCTAGAGCTCTTGGCTATCTCAGTGGAAAAATTAAATTAAATCTCTACCTCACACCATACAGAAAAATTAATTTCAGATGAGTTATAGGTCTAACTGTGAAAAACAGAACTCGAAAACTTTCATAGAAGACACAATGTATATTCTCATGATACCGTGATAGGGAAGAATTCCTTACACAAGACATAAAAATCACCATCCCTAAAAGAAAAGAGTGACATTTTGGAATATAAGAACATAAAAATCTTCAATGTAATAAAAGCCAAAAAAAGGAAAAAAAAGAAAAAAGAAATTTGTGAACCTAGTGAAAGCCAACAGTTATATCTAGAACACTGCTTTAGATTGAAAATAAATGTTACAGGGACACCTGGGTGGCTCAGTCGTTAAGCATCTGCCTTCAGCTCAGGTCGTGATCCCAGGGGGTCCTAGGATCGAGCCCCGCATCGGGCTCCCTGCTCTGCGAGAAGCCTGCTTCTCCCTCTCCCACTCCCCCTGCTTGTGTTCCCTCTCCCGTTGTGTCCCTCTCTCTGTCAAATAAATAGGATCTTTAAAAAAAAATTAAAAAAAATGTTGCAGTTATCTGCAGATGTTATTGGGACAAATATCACACAATGCCAATTTCAGTTCTGCTGTTCTTTATAAAATATATTGCTTTTAAAATTTAATTGTGCATTTAGCTAAAACGTGAGCTGAACACCACTGGATTTTCTTTAAATTGACTCATTCTAGGAGACAGTAGTGGGAAGTTGCATAAATGTGACCTAAGCATATATGCCAATTATAATTTTCAAGTCAATATAATACATTAACCTCTTACTGTGTGCCAGGCACAGTGCTAGCTAGATACAATCTCTCTCTCTCTCTCTAAGTCCTCATGACACACCCACGTCATGGGTATTCCCCATTTGACAAACACGGGGAGAGACTGTGAGCTATCCAAAGCCACATTCTTGCTAAGTAGCTGAGGCAGAATTTAAGCAAGATCTCTCTTGATCAACTGAATTCATGTATTTTTGTATGTCTTTTTCTTTTTTCTTATAGTCAACTTTGCTGCATTCACCTTGTTCTAAAGAGAATTTATGGCAGCTTAAATAAGTATAAATAACTATAATAGGATTTTTAAAACTAACTTAATTTACATAGAAAAAATGAAATGGGGGCAGGAATCTAAAAAGTGTGCTTTGCTTCATCTGCCATATATAATGTACTTTGATTTTTACTCTGTACCTTAATTTCTCTAGGCCTGGGTGCAGTATGCCTGAAATTTGGGACGTGGAAGATCCTGCTAATGTTGGGAAACCTCCCTTATGTAACCTCTTGGTGAAGGATTCCAAGCCACACTTCACCACTGTATTCCAGAACAGTGTTTACAAGGTCTTAGAAGTTATAGAAGAATGACTGCTGCCTACAGACCTACAGAGAAGTACATCAGTAATGGTTTTAATGTTTTGCTAATAACTCATGCCTTGTTTTTAATTCAAATCCCAAAAACTTTTATAGGTAACTGTTTTCAAATAGAAAACATTTTGTTTGGTCAATTCAAATGTTGTTCTGATTGTAAAAATACTTATAACTTAATCAGTTGGTTACTATTTCAATGCAGCCCTTTAAAATTTGCTATGCAAATGAGTATATGTTTGTACCTGACTTAAATATTTGTGCTAAAGTGAGTGAGCAAAGCTACCTGTAAAAGAAACATGATGGGTCATGACAAGGAAGGCATGAAAATATCGTGAGTTCTGACCGTTGTAGGCTGATTTTAGTTTATGGACTCTTGGTGCTCCTTGCTTCCTCTTCTGCCTCTTGCTTTTGTCATTTGGACATCTCCGTGACTGTCGTAAGCTCCTCAGTCGTGTTGGGCCCCTGTCATCACATCCGTAAGAGCAGATGGGGCAGACATGGGTATTTGCTATGTGGACTTATCTGTTTCACTTCTTCATGTTCTTTTGTTTCTTGTTGCTCTTGTTAATGAAGCATTTCCTGCCCATTACTAATCCAAATTCTTGGATCTAGTGGTCAGGACCAAATTCCTGTAGTTACCAACCATGTGGCATTAGCATGTCTTCTCGCTCCCCTTTCTCCCTCTTTCTCTCCCAGCATTCTTAGTCAAATAAGTGTCATTTACTCGTTTAGATGCTTCGAAAGTACTTATTCTTGGTTAAAAAAAATTTAATGGCAATTGTGTATTTTTCTCGTTTTTAGTATTATTCAGATGTTTATATTTTAATACCTTTAAACCACTGTAAAAATTTTTCATGTTTAATTATAGTTTTAAGATCAACTATTTTGAATGACCCAAATATAATGCATCTACAAACTAATGTGTATTTGAGTAGACATAAATTACAGTGGAACAGTAGACTGTAGTATGTGTAGTTTTTCTTTTACTAGTAAGATACAGTAAAACATGACTAATTTTTCTGTCAAAAAAGTAAACGCATAATGAGAAGGAAATGGAGTTTTTATATTTTACTTTTTAAATTGCCTGTCTTTAGTAAGACAAAGCCTTAAGCCTTATGTTATAATTTGGATCCCCAAAACAATCATTTCAGTACGAGGAATGAATATATTCAGCCTTCCTCTTTATGTTTTTTTCCTTTGTATTTATTTTCATTTTGAAAGATTCCCAAACCTGCTCTGAATTCCTAGTATGAATTTTTGTTTCTTAGAAGTTAATTTGTGTGAAATGAGATTCTTCAAAACAGTGAATCCTCATGGTTCTGAGAAACGGTTTTAAGATTTTAAAGTCTAAGCAAACCATGACTCCGATGGACTACACATTTAATTATACAGTGTTCTCTTTATTAACCACAGGCAGCTTAACCTCATTGTGGACTGTCCTTGAGACCTGAGTCCTCAGGGATGGTTTCCGGTGCCCACTCCTGGGAGCCACTGAAGAGCTCTTCCCTTTCCGCCTTCTCACCAGAGCCCAAGGACAAGCCTGGTCTGGGGGAAGCGCTAGCTTGCTTAGAGCAGACAGCTGCAAGGACAGCCTGGGCTGGCGAGCGCGCAGCCCGCGTTTCCGGGGAGCCTCCTTCTGGCCGGAGCTGCCGTCAGTGTCTTCGGGTGCCTGCCCCCTCCTCCTCGCTCGCTCGCTGGGTGACTTTTATTTCTTGGGCTTCTGCCAGTTTCAGAAAATAGGGAAGCAGCTGGGGAGTCGTGGATTAGGAGTAGAACTTGAGCAATGATGCAGCAATCCAGAAAAATGGCACGAGGGCACTCGAGGCCGAGGTGGCTGGGAGTCGCCGTGGGCGGGAGGAGGGAGGAGGCGCGCTCCGCGCCCTGTGACACTGTTCACGGAGACGTGGCTGGCTCACACACGCAGCGGGGCCAGGTTTTCAAAAACTGTGCTTTTAAAGTCACTCTCTTTTCTCCCCACCCTCCAGTCACTCCCTTCCTGAGGAGTTCACATGTGATGATTGGAAATTCGGTACAGGAAAAACACCAAAATACCGTTTTGACTGTTTCGTATGCTGGGAAAGGTTGAAAGTGGTCCAATTAGGTTGTTCTTTTTTCTCGCCATAGGAATCCTTTTATAACGGTATTTAGTAATGTAACTCCACCAGCAAGCTATGATTGTAGTTTAGGCCAGTCAGTTAAGAACAGAGGCCTTGGGCTACACGGCACACTCAGCCTTGGTCACATCTGCTAGCAGCCAGTGCCGTAGATGAGCAGTATCTTTTATGGCAACATAGAATAGTAGTAGTTTCCATACACATGACAGAACAGTATTAAAGCTCAGTATTTTACTCATTTTTAGCCTTTAAAAATATTTTTTTTGCTTTAGTGTGAGGAAGGTAAGGATGGCAAGGAGGTGGTAAAAATAGCTCTTGCTGTCACATATGAAAAAACAAAGTGGGGGCAGTATTTCTATAAGCAGAAAAGCCTCTAAAAAACGCTTTGCAGAAAAAGTGTTGTGTTAAAACAGGACAATGATATTAAGGAGAACGTGAAACACTGTATCAGGAATAAAGTGATATCACATAGAAGTATTGTATTTTTATGAATTTTATGCCAGTTGTTTTACATGTACTATGTATGTTCAATAAAAAAGATAATGAAAAATCTAGAAAGGTTTTTTTTATTATTTTCATTTCTACCTTGACTCTTCACATGTTCAGCCTCATTCTGTAGTCAGATAACCATGAACTTGGTGTGTGGCAGGCTGTAGTCCTCAATGATGAGGGAGGGTTCCAACAGTGGGGTCCATGAAACTACTTAGTCCTCTTCACTGGGGCCGTGTAGGTATTGGGGTTACCCATACTCTTCTATATTTATGCTATTACACATTTACATTACTTTAGCATTTACATCAAGGGACACAATCATTCTTTAAAGCCGTAGTTTGGGGATAATTTTAGAGTTACTGAAAGCGTTTTCCCATACATTAAACTATAGTGTGGTCTCATGATAATTCCTAAATTATATCTCCATGTTTTTGCTTGATACAAGCATTAGCTTTGTCTGTCTGTCTATCTATCTATCTATCTATCTGGAGGAAAGACAGTTTAGCTTAGTTCATGCCTGTATAATTAATTTCTTTACACAGTGACACCCTTCTCTGACATCTTTGGGAGTGAAGTGTTTCTAATCCAGTGGTTCTCAAATTTAGTGTTCCTCAGAATCACCTGGAGGGTTTGTTAAAACGCAGATCGCTGCACCCCACCACAGAGTTTTCTGATTCAATTCGCCTAAGGTGGTGGGGTGGTCTGGATGTTTGTGTCCCCCCAGAATTCATATGTTGATATCCTAACCCCCAAGGTGATTGTATTAGGAGGTGGGACATTTGGGAGGTGATTAGGTCATGAGGGTAGAGCCCTCACGAATAGGATTAGTGCCCGTATAAAGAATCCCAAGCAAGTTCCGTTGGACCTTTCACATTGTGAAGTTACAGCTACAAGTTGCCATCTATGAACCAGGAAGCGGGCTCTCACCAGACACTGAATCAGCTGGCGCCTTGATCTTGGACTTTCAGTCTCTAGAACTGTGAGAAATAAATTTCTGTTGTCTCTAGGGTAGCCCAAATGGACTAAACAGACGGGTCCCCAGAATTGACGTTTCTAACCATGTCTCAAGTAGTGAGACCAAGTAGCTCTTGGTCCAGGGGCCACACTTGAGAACTGCTGCTCTGATGGATTGCAAAAGACTATGTGGATGACTGGCCTCTAGAGGGCGTTCCCTTCTTGACAGCATTTCTCCCACAGGACAGGCTACACGGTCCCTATATTGGAAACTGAATTTTGTAGAGTCCCCTCTTTGTGTTTTAGGGGGCATTGCCTCACAGAACTTGCAAGAAGCAAAGACCGGATCAGGTAGTTTTTAACCAGAACGTTAATGCAGCTTATTTACATTGTGTTTGCTGAACAGGTGGCTTATGATCATTTAAATATTTTAAAACCATAAGCTGGACTGGACTTCAGTTTCTTTTCAGTTCAGAAATGGAAAAACGAGAGAAATCCTTTAAAATCGAACTTCCTTTTGTAAAATTACTTTGTCTAGAAGAAAATGGATAAATTCAGTGATGTGTGTGGATTTTAAAACTCCATTTTTCACTTTATTACCTTTGTTTGGCCCCAGAAATCTTCAATCTTCTCCCTCTTTTAGAGAGCAGCTAAGGACCAGCTTTGAGTCACGGATCACCCGTTTCTCTCTTCTGCCTTCCCCTTCTCTTTCCCCACAACTAGAAGTTTCTTATTTAAATCAGTAAAATTGTTCCCTGTGCAGAGAAAAGAGAAGCTGCTTTTAAACTTCATTATATTCTTGAATTGGTCTTTATTTCACAATACTATATCAGTGCAAATACAGTTTTACATTTGGAGTTGAAAAGGACATTAAGGTATAGGAAAGTCTTGAAAATTCTCTCCTTTAACCTTTCCTTCCATGAGAGAGATTTTAAAATTCTGAGTGAATATACAAGTTGAAGGTCTTTTTCTCTTAAGATTTTGAGTCATTGTAGTGTAGTTAAAAGGTAGATTTTTCTTTTTGTGCAAAGAGATTAGGATGGTATTGACATTGGCTCTGCTTTCAAGGCAGTGTTTTCTGTACTTCATTATCTCTAACTCAAAATTCTAATGCCTTAAGTAAGCAGTGTGTTGTCAAAATGACTTTCAAATAAATGGTAGTGCTACCAAGTGTTGTGTTTACACAGGCATGTTCTTTTTAATTGAGCATAATATCATTTCATTGATTTTTAAGTACCTGGGCTTTTTTCTGTATGCAAATTTAATATCTTGAAAGAAAGTTCAGTGTAGCAAAATTAAGCTCATTCAGTTTTTATGCCGATTGCCCTTAAAGCTTTAGTACTTAGCCATTTCTAAAAACATAGAAAGAAATGAAATAAGAAATGACCATTTTTAAGTAGATTTGGCATTATGCCATTAAAACTGTTAAAGAAGGGGCGCCTGGGTGGCTCAGTCGTTAAGCGTCTGCCTTCGGCTCAGGTCATGATCCCAGGGTCCTGGCATTGAGCCCCGCATCGGGCTCCCTGCTTGGTAGGAAGCCTCCCTCTCCCACTCCCCCTGCTTGTGTTCCCTCTCTCACTGTCTCTCTCTCTGTCAAATAAATAAAATCTTTAAAAAAAAAACTGTTAAAGAAAAGGTGCCCGAAGGCCAGCTCTTCAGCTTGGTTTTATGGACACAGTTCACATCTCTGGCTCTGCCCCAGGGTGACAATGCCCTGCTCACTGGCCAGCCCCCTCAGGTCTTCAGTCTTGGTATCTGCTCACTGACAAGAGTCCAGATTCAGAGGCCTCCCTCTTGCCCTAAAACAATCCTCCCCAGGAAATGCAATTTGGTAATTCTTCCAGCCCTTTAAGTCTGTGATGAATTAGACTTTTTCTGAGAAAAATGGCAGTCATTCTCAAACTTGTCTACACATTGGAAATTACCTGGGGAGCTTCAAAAATACTGAATCCTTCCCTCCTTCCCCACCCCTCCCCCCCAGAGTTTGGGATTGAATCAGTCTAGGGTGTGGCCTAAGATTTGGAACTTTTAAAACTGCCCAAGTGATATTTTAGAACCTGGCCTCCCTGCCTCACTTCTGAACCCACCCTTTCCACATCTCCTCCACCCAAATTAGAAATGGGCAGCAAGTTTCTGTCACGTACACTCTCTTTTATTCAGGATGATGGACTATTTCTACTTTATGAATCATGGAACCTCATGTTGAGTAGACTCCATAAGGAAAGAAGGCTCTGTTCAGTTGGAGGCCCCGCCGCGGGGTAGTGTCGCAGCATGGATGCTGCTACCATAAACCCCGACTAGAGTGTCAGCGAGAAATGGGAATATAACAGCAGAAAAATAAAAGGAGTTTGCTTTAAAAAATCACTGACAATTCAATACTCGTGTGGAGAATCGTGGTTCTTCTCTTCCCAGATGCTTTTGTCTTCTTTTTTCCTGGACTGTACTTTCTTGATCAGTTTCACTTCAAGATGCAACTTCAGTGTCACCTCCTTCGGGAAGCCTTCCCTGACGGCCTACCTCTCGGCTGAGTGACCTTCCCCCGCTGCCCATGCTCCTGTAACTCCTATGGTCCACACACTGAACATGACTTTTTGTATTGCATTGTGTCCTGATAGACTGGACTTCTATCTTACCATGTTCTGAATCTACAGTGCCTCCTAGCATACTTCCTGGCCCATAGTAATGCTTAATGATTTTTGAAATAAACCATACTTCATTCAACAATGCAGTAAACTCCATATAGCACTAAAAATTATTTATGTGAACTAAAGGAAATGGAAGATTATGTGTTCTAGCTGTGGAGATGAAATAATAAGGACATTCAGAATATCTTCAGGTGACATTAATATCATTTATAGGGAAAGAATATCCTTGACAAACAGCAAAACAAAAATTAATCTCAAGACATATTCTGGCTAGGTACCTTGATACATTCAGACATGGCTAGTATCCAAGGAACTATTAGAAAGCAATATGAAAAACACAGATACATCTATCTCCAGAGGAAGGAAAATTGGCCTGGTTTAGGTTGTGTGGCTTAAGATACTCTCATGGCCAGTCCTGGCCACATTCATTGCTGGCCAGGAGGCAGAGAACTCTAGGAATTTGGTTAAAGTATGAGAGAGGAAATTTCCCCCAAATGGGGAGCAATTGATGTGTTGTTGCTATATGAGGATATTAGACAAAACATGACGGTAACACAATATTGTCATAAATGAGACAACTAAATTGGAATCCTGGCTCCACTTTTACCAACTTTGTAAGATAAGACATGTTTCTTATTTTGAAAATCAGTTTTCATATCTTTCAACAGGATATGCCTCCTATGGTGGTAATTAAAAGCAGGAGAAATAGATGAATTCACAAATACACCAGGAAATTTTAACATATCTCTCCTAGAAATTGATATAATAAGCCCGCAAAAAAAGTCAGTAAGGATATACATAGTTTAAGTAATAGGAAAAGGAATCTTGATTTAATATCATATTTAAAACAACTGCACTGAACAAGTGAAGAATACACATTCCAGGTAAGTATGTAGGACATTTCCAAGAATTGACAATAGAACATGAACTCCAGAAAGGCATGAAGTTTTGGTCAGTTTTGTTCACAAGCACCTAGAACAATACCTGGCATATATGAGTGCTCAATACTTGTCCAAAAAAATTGATCATATGTGGAACCAAATAGCACTTTGAAAAAAATTACTGATTGAAAACCCCTTATGTTAGAAATTAATACAAAATAAATAAGTTTTAAGTAATCCATGAATAAAAAACTGAAAAAATTTGAGGAAAAAACCATAACAATGATATACCACAAACAGCTTGTGGGGTATAATTAAAGAAGGTCTAGAGGTATACTTTTTTTCCTATTTAGTCTAAAATGCACGTATTAAACTAAACATGAATTAAAATATCTATGTCAGAAATATAAACAAAGGACAGCAGCATACCCTCTCCCCAACCCATGAAAGGAAATAACAAGCAGAACTCGATGAAATAGAAAACAGAGATCAACAAGGCCAAAGTTGGTTATTTGAAATCATTCATAAGACAAAATAGAGGAGGCATAAAAAATTAGGATTGGCAAATTACTGAAGCTGTGA